CCTCATCGGTCGAGTTGATGCATGATTCCCAGTTTCGCACACCTTCCGTGACATGTTCTTTGTGCACATCACTCTCTGTCACATCGATGCGATCCTTCTAGACGAGACCGTATACTGATGTGCAATAATAAAATTCACGCAGCGTTTTTCGCTCTCCTTAGATGAATCGCATTACTGTTGACAATAGAATGAGGGTGTTTTTAACGAAACTCATACATATATATATATATATATATATATATATATAAGTGCAATAGAATGTACACAGATTCAATTCTGTCATCTTACTGGTTTTTCTCATGGAAATCCAATTGCCATGGATGTGACTCCTGACTGATCACGGTTATGATGAAGACCAGCACAGACTACATCGCTATCACTAGTTGATGTTCATCTTATTGGGTACTGGTCCGTTTTGTAGTCAGTTCCTGACCACCGATCAGCAACTAATACTCATTTCCAAAGCAGCTTTGCTGCATTCTCCTTCCGGGCTAAAATTTTTTGCAATTGATGATTGACTTTATAGTCTCTTTATTTGCCGGAATCTGTTTCATCACGCCCCACCGGGCTCATTAGGTTTAGATGAATGTGTTGTATTAATCAGTATCCTAATGAGTCTCTCACTCGGCCGGTGCTGATGGCCCCATGGGGCTATGTTTTCGTGTCTATAGCGATTATCTGCGCTTGCTAGATCGGTTTCAAACCAAAACGATCAGTCTCTGTGTTTTGCCATCCGAGGTACAGTTGATTTTCAATTGTTACACCCGCAGTCGTGCCACAGTTTCCACAATCCTGTGATGAATGGAGTACCGACAATATAATATGGTTGCAATTAATTGATGTTAGTTACGAACGTTAACGATGTTGTTCATTTTTTGTACATATACATCGGGTTTTCTGAGTATTTTCTGAATAGATTTGAAATACCAGTGTCATTGCGTTGAACCCAATTGGTGGAAACGAACATGTGTATCAAATGCTTCAAAAGCATATCGCGTTTAAAAGAAGATCGATTCTCGTGTAACTATGGAAGCCAAATGCTTCATTTCGGAAGGATATACAATCTATCGTTCTTCTCAGCTTGGGCTGTTTCACCTGTTGGGCCAGGAGATTGAATACAATTTTGATTGGTCTGTGCCACAATGGATGACATTGTTTACTCGTCTGTCCATCGGCGCAATATCACCTGAACACATTTCGCCATCCAGCAGTAGAGTGAAGCGTCCGAGAAGTGCGTTGTTCCAATAGGCCAATGGAATAACTACAGAACATGCTGAAATGCTACAAATCTTATTAGATTAGATTTGGCTCGCTGTCACAGAATTCAAAGAGGTTTAGATGGAATTGAGCAAGTATTTAATCAACACGTCCAGGTGTAAGTGTTCATTCTAAGTTATCTGCCACTGATGGTTTATAAATCAACCCTACATGGAGAGCTAACTGCTATTTCAGCCTAAGTGTAGTGCTTATTTGCATCATATGTAGCGTGCAATTGAGTAGAACTTCAAACTGCCCGATCGATATTTTCCCAGAAGAAGAACCCGATTTACCAGCTAGAGACAAAATTCCAAAAGAAATGGAATAATTTCACTGTATAGAGTAATCTGAGGTAGTGAACCTAATCCCTAGGCATTGATGATAATTGATAACTCTAGGTATGTTCGAATGACACCGCAGATGTCCAACGCCGGGTGCCGGTGGTGATTATTTAAACTACGGTTTCAGTAAATCGTGTTCAAACTGAATGTGGAAAGTGTATTTTAAATTTTCATCTCCGAAGACATTTTAATCTCAATAGAAATCTGTCTGCTGTTGACCGAGGGAAGGAGTGATCACGCTATTGATTAGATCGTTCTTGACTGGGTTTTGGTTTTATTCCGCAGATGATGTTCGGCATAAACAGTAACAACAACAACACAACAATCCGTGTATATTTGGTGTATCTGGAGTTTAAAATATTTGGAAATTAAACGGAATCAGTCCTTAAACAATGAATGAATGAACACACGGGCGAAATGAAAGTTCGCACTTCTCCTAGCCAACTAAAAGGAGTTCGCAGAAAAGAGAAACTGCGTATAGCGTTCATTGTTTACCAACGCGATTGGTGCATCGTTTTTGTTTTTCCATCCGACATATTTGGATCTCACTATAGTTAGGGAGTAGTCATGTGCGGAAGATGGGTTCCACCCGTGTGAGGTGCTTAAGTGCGCTGACGATATATTTACCAAGCCGTTTGAATCCCTCTTTTGAAAAGGAAACTGGGATTGCATCTTACACCTGTCTAGCCATTCTGATCGAAAATGGAATACCCTTGAATTTACACATCCAGCCTTCTAAGTCCTCGGTTTCCAACGGGTACACTGTCATGGAGATCCGAATATCCGTCCAGAATTCGTTCCCTCAAGTATCTTTATGTTCACTCAGCTACTGAATGAATATAGACATCTCACATGTAGTGTTCTGTCGAAAAATATCCGAATCGTTTTTTTCAACTGTAGGAATTCAAACAGTCTCTATCGCCACGCTTAGCTTTATTCCAACGGATTCTTCCGATCCTTTTATGCTACTTTTTCGGCTTTCTGAGACAAGCCCACAAAGTTCCACTCTGTGGTTCGGTAATTATTTTCAGTTCCCTACTTTGATGCTCTCCTGACTGCATTTGTTCCTCCATGTTTCGATTCTCATCTACCCCTGGCTCTTACTATTCACCCAGTCAGAACTTCGGCAACGTTACTTTCGATTTGAATAGCCGAAAATACCTCTGTCATTCCGATCAGCGTAAGTGGAAGCGGAATCACGGACAACATTTTTTTGCTCACCTTTATTTTGGACCCCTCCCTCCTCGGCGCATGCTTACTTCTACCAGCGATGATAACTGGTTAGGTGTGTGAGGCAATTTTCCGACAATTTTGGAACACATCTAACTGTATTGCGCTTGCAAAATTCTACCGCACGGGTTGGTTTTCAATTTTGTGTACACGTATGCGATGGAAATGTTTGTGATAGCCGACACAGAGCACTGGACAGCTGTTTGGGACTCTTCGGCAGTGCGTACTTTTTGTGTCCCTGTCAGGACTCGAACCAAGTCTGCTACCGTAAAATTATGCACACGTACTTTTTATAATATTTATTAGAACCGGGTTGGGAAATTGTTATCTTTAATATTATCAACTCAGTCGTGGGCATGTAAGCGCACTCGGATCTCACCGTGGAAGGGGTCTATTCTACACAGCTAGATATGTTTTTATTTGACTTCTCAGCGTACGCCTTTCCCTCAGAAATGGAAGAGTATAGTGAATTGCAGCATCAGATCCAAAATGGGAAAGGATGATATTGGAGAGATTGTGCATCCTGCTCATAGTATTGGATCGGTATGGGCATGTTTGTATTAGTTACGAGAAGAAGCAGCCCAAACACTTTCCGGTAACGACCTTTCGACCTTCTTCATGGGCCCTTATCAAGTTAATTCATTAGTGCACATAAAACAAACAGAGAAACTGTAATAGCTGAAGTACGCTCCGATCACGTATCGGAACTCACGGATGCCACATAAGCACTGAATCACACTGGCGCTTACACAACAGTAGCCCACGCAACCGAGACACAAGGAAAAGGTCTCAGGAGTAGCAGCTCATTTAGTGGAAGAAATCATGGGGTTTAAATAAAAAAGAAATTTATTGGTCGTCCAAGCATCTACCAAATCGTGGGCTCGTACTCCTGGCTACGTATAGCTTTTGTCTGGACAGCATGGCTTCTGATTGGTCGACACGATCAGTCTATGGTTCGTAGTGCAGAAGCTGTAACGCGTAGGAGCTTTGCTGGCGTCACCAGGGAAGTTAGACTCATCACACTTGTCCGGAAGCTGTAACGTGTTGTCCCGTGGTTTGCGTCATCACGTAAGCTAGCATAACC